TATATATATATATATATAAAAGAAAAAAGCCCAAGGACAACTATATTAAAGAGAAAAGGGTATAGATAGGTTGTATGAGTGGGCCTAAATAGGCACCCGACCCATACGGTACAATATAAAAAATAAAAAAAAACCCACATATAAGAACAATCGGGATGACCCAATTTTGTTCTGCCTCTGCCTTTAGTTCTTGGAAGAAAATCAACTAACAAATTAATGAGGTGTGTACCGTTGTTTGAAGCAACCAAAGTATCATCCATTAGATTCCTAGACTCAAGTAGATCGCCATTCTTCTTCTTCTTCCTCCTGGAAGTGTAGACCTGTCATTCCTCATCTGAAGATTGTTGTTCATTCAGATGAGGTCTTATGTTGCACTAAAAAGATTGCCAACAGTTGTGCCCACAAGAGGTTCAAATGTATGTGAGGTAAGAGTTGTCGCCTCTACCCCTGATACTTTCTGAAGATGGGAAGCTGCAAGGTTTTCCTGATTATCAGTCCGTGTAGGTAGAGGTTCTTCAGTACTGTTTTCAATAGGGTTTGAAAGTGTAGGTTGTTCAGTAGGGCCATCCAGCTTCTCATTGATCGCATAAATATTATTTACAAGGAGAGGGTCCACAAAAATAATATTAACCAGACTTTAGTAACATCAAGTAAAGTAATATATCTTTCCACAAGTACTCTGGCCATTGAAGGTCTGGTTAGGTTGAAGACAGGTAGATCTAGCTTCATAGGGTCCCTAAATATGGTCCCAATAGAGTAAAAAACCTGATGATGAAAAAAGTGCAGCTTGAGACCATGTAGAGTAAATCATATCGGTACAATATGAGGTTTATGATTGTAATCAAAATTAGAAGACCACTTGAGTAGCTTCATTGATCAGTAATGCTAAGATATTTTTTGGAGAAAATCTGAGTGTAGTCTTCAACCATGGTTAATTGAATCAATACATGTCTCCCATTAATGAGCTCTACTTTTCAATTTCCTTCTAATTTGAGATCATTAATTTTTTTCCTGATAAGTTCCATTGGGGGGGTGGCCCAACTGAATTTTTTCCAAAATGAGTAAACTTGAATTTATCAGTCTGGGTTAAAATTTCTATCTCAGAGAAAAAAACATGATGCTTTCCCACTTTTCCTGCATTCTTAATAAATGGGCAGTCACCTGTACCATCACGATACTCTTTATAACTTGAAAGACAATCGTCGTCTTCACCTTAGGATTACCCACCACGTGGACAAAAAAGACATTGTGAGGTTCAATTGAAGAAGGAAGCTCTATCACAACAAGAAGCCCTGCCAAGTCGGGCAAAGGGTAGAAATGACGAGCTGAGGAATGTCTAGGCGAAGCCGCAGATGTCGAAGCTGCAAATGTCGAAGTTGACGCAAACCGCAAATGTCGAAGCCGCGGAACAATCGCACAGTAGACACAAAGCCGCGAAAACTGTCTGCGTTGAAATCGAACAGAAACGATGCGAACGTGAACTGTGTCGGCGTCGAAATAATGACGCAGAAGCGAGCCGAGTCAAAGTCGTAGTAGTACGAGCTAACGACGAATAGAGAAGACGCAACGAGGAAAGGAAATGATTTGATGCGATAATAATTGCTTATCTGATGCGATAACAGTTGCTAGGGTTTGCCATGAGTCGAAACCCTAGTAGAGATGATAGCGGAAGAAGACGACGTCGTGTGTGTGTGTGTCTATATATATATATATATATATATATATATATATATATATATATATATATATATATATATATCTGACAACAAAACTTAAGGTTACAATGATATCACATTATTTATTTTTGAAAAGGTGTATTTATCTTTATAAAGATAGCAATAGTGATATTTTTGAGATATAAAACATTTAAGCGTTATAATTGTAAAAAATAAAGTTCGACTGTTCTCTATGTATATTAAATGGTATGTGTTTTGTTTTCTTTATTGAATAGAGGAATGGATAATTTTAACCAATATTGAATTAGAAATGATTTATTTAAATTGATATTGTGAAATTTATTTTATACAAAAGCATTTTGAGAAGTATTAGAATTGACATTTATATGATATATCATTCATTTTAATTTATTAAATTAAAGTCATTAATTGTAAAATTATTATTATTATTATTAAAAGATTAAAAGAAATTATAAATTAAATATGAAGCCCAAAAAATAAATTTAAAAGATTATCTACTTGAATAATGCAGATCACCATTAGACAAATTATGTGCAAACATGGTGTTTGTTTGGGGTCGCTGTAGCTTTATTTAAAAACTGTTGCGCAACAGTTGAAAATTACTTTGGTTAGTTGTTTGTTTGTTTGTTTTTTTGTAGTTTTGAAAGAGTTGGGCTGTAGTTTTTGAATAAATGACATTTCTGCATCTGTATTATAATGTTGTTTATAACATAATTAATATTGTTAGCACATTCCATACTTGAAAGTAAATAGTAAGTTCGAACTAAGATAGACATCTCATCAAAGAGTGAGTAACATGATAATTAAAATAATAACAAGACATCTCTATACCACATACCAACACATCCACACTTACTCATCACCACCTTCACAACAACACCACCACATCCACACCACACCACCCTATAACACCACATTCATACCACACATCAATACATCCACACTGATACATCACCACCTTTACAACAAACAACATCACATCCACAACACACCACCACCCTATAATGACCACCTTCATACCACAAACCAACGCATTCACACTGACACATCCCGATCCATCATTTTGGGAAACGTCACAATCACTACCACCACCAACAAAGGCACTTTAACACTACCACATAACCCATATGTAATTCAATTAATTTCCACATGCAATCACCACTAACATCAAATTTTAAGCAACAATCAATGTCACAACACAATTATTAAAATCCATCAACTAGATAGCGAACAAGGAAGAAAGAAAATCAAATAAAAAATATAACAGTGAGCTCAATAAAATTGCAAAGTCTAAACATAAAACAACCCTCACAATCCAACAGCATAAACCAACTAGCTAAAGCATAGTGATCAAAATCCCAAGTTCCAACATCTTCATCATTGATAACCCAAAGGAATCCCAAATTCTAATATCACAAAATAAATAAATTAAAAAACATCACATCACAACAAAAAATCAAAAATTTCAACCATAAATCAAATTGCCTCAATGGAAGGTCATAGCCAATACCATAGGGACAATAGATGACCAATGATCCGAACCCAGACGAAGAACAGGGGGGAAAGGGAGAGGTATTAGGAAAGGAAACTCATTGCAAAAACCACCACTCAATGATCCAAGCCACACCAAATAACAGAGGGGAGAGGTAGAGGAGCAGAGAAAAGAACCAAACCTTAGCCACGTATCGAAGAGGATTGAAATATCCTATGTGAGTTTAAGGCAAAAATCATGAGAGACGAAAGAGGGGAGAGAGACTCGAGAGAGGTGATGACAACAATCTTGAGAGACTTAAGAGTAGGGTTGTAAACATATCACGAAATAGCATGAGCAGTGGAGTCAAGCCCACAATTCGCTTTTCATATGGTTTTTCCATAAACGCGGTTGCACCACGATTTCAAAATGCTCCATGTTGTGTTTTCATGCGGCACCACGACATATAAGCCTAACCAAATTGACAATCAACTTAGAAATAAACTCAAGGATCATACTTCTTAGAATTGTTCGGTCTAGAAGCTTAGGTTAGTTTACAAGATACCCATAGTTAGTGTTAAGGATTAAGATATATAAATTGAATAGCCTTACCATATTGGATTATGTAGGTACTCTAGGATGAAGTAACATATGGTTATTGACAAACAAACCTCAAACCACCTAATAAAAATATCTATTAGGTGAATAACTTATTAGGTTGAATAAGCTCAAACCATCAAGTCGTTTAATAGTCTAAGGATTTTAATGCACCCGAGACAATGGAAAGTCAGAGGGAGGCATCTTGACCTGAGGGGGGGGGGGGGGGGGGGGGGGGGGGGGGGTACTATTTCTAAAAATTAGGTTAGCCAACCCGTTTAGTCTCTTTTATAGTCTAGGTTTATTTAAGGGTTGGTGCTTCACTTTCATGTAGAAGCCCTTCTATCCTATCATATCCCTTAGTAAAAGATTCAACCTCAAAGTTTCAACTCTAAGTGAACCTTTATTTAAACATTTTCAACTCCATTCAAAAACTTAACCTCAAACCTTCAATTCCAAATCTTTAACTTCAAAGTTTCAAATTTCTCATACGTTAACATCAAACTTTAAACTTTCCAAATAGTAACTTCAAACCCTCAACTTCAACTAAATTTTTTAGAAAAAAAATTCAAAACCCAATATCAAACCTAATAGATAAAACATAACAAATTGTAACGAACCTTAACTAAATTTTAACAAACCTTAACTAACTTAGCTAACTTTAACATAGTTTAGCAAACTTTAATAAACCTTAAAAATCTTAACCAATTTTCAAGTTTAGCGAACCTTAACAAACTTACCAAACTTTAAAAAAATAAAACTTAAAAAATTTCAAAACAAAGATTTAGACGATACTAAAACAGTTTAAAACAAATTTTAACAGCTTAAAATAAATCAAACAATTTTAAAACA